AGAGGTTGAAGTGGGGAAGGATTCCGAGATATGCCTCATAGAAATGGATGAAGATCGAGATGTGTAAAATGGTATTTGGGTGGAGATTGCACATACTAACCACCTAGAGCTCCAACAGATCCCTCAAGAATGGATGGACAGGAAATCCCAACCCGCGCCAGAAATAATCCTCAAATACCACCACTTCGTCGGTATGAGGCATGGGGAAGGGCTCACCGAGGGCCAGACGCCATCCAGCGGTGATGCGGTCAGGCAGAACGCCCGCTTCCACCAATCTGTTGAGCTCCGCCTCTCCCATTCGTGACGGCACCCACTCTTCGTCACGCTGGGCTTTGACGCTCGCCTTCTTGGGGCTCGTCTTCTTTGGTTTCGTAGCTCCCTTCTTTGGCACCATCTCTTTGATCTGATTAGGGTTTGGCGGTGGAAGCAAGTGTGGATGCGAATCTAGAAATACGAGGGTTGAGGAGGAAGACGAAATGGTAAAGTGGCAAAGGTGGGGACACGGGATGCGGCGGCGCAGTTATAAAGCACTTTTCCCACCCTTTTGCATTCGAGGGTTTTTGGGAAACTGTTCTCGTGATTTACGCCTCTTCGAATTCTCCGCAATAGCAAGGTGGTCCGTTACCTGGGTTTTCGTGCAACCGCGGCCCGTATCGCCGATTTATCTCCGCAATTTGTTACGACCCGCTGAATTTTCGTCGACTTCTCCGTCAATCGTTACGGCTCAATAATTACTACTGTACAACCATTACTCCGGTATTTTCTCCGTGGTTTGTTTTCTCCAAGATTTCCTAAAGTGGCTCGGGGACTGCGTCAGTATAACGTCTCGGTCCCTCACCACATTGGGGATTTTTCTTTAATTGACTGCTGTTTCTGACCCTGGCACCACGTGAGTGCGTCACCTACTGTCAGGCTCGGGGACTAAGTGGGCACACTTCACCTTGCGGTGAATGCGTTTTTTTTCTCACTTCGGGGCTATGCCCGGGGACTGGCTGCCTGCTCGGCTGGTCTTTTACTATTCTTCTACTTTGGACCCTAGCACCACATGACTACGTCATCTACTGTCAGGCTCGGAGACTAAGTGGGCACACTTCACCTTACGATGAGTGTGTTTGCTTAAATCTGGAAGACTCCGCGCCTCTTGAAGCTGAAGAAAACTACCTCATTTTCTCGTGGTCGGACTCTAAGTGGGCACACTTGGTCCACTGCGAAGAAAATTTTTTATTCTAAACTTGAGCTCCTTACACCCTTATGGCAAGCCGTACTTGGGTTATACTGCTCGGCTACGGTTCACGCTGCTCGGCAACTCATCACGGTGGTGGGACCATGAGTTTGACTGCTCGGCTTTGTTCGCAACTGCTCGGACAAGCTCAAGATGGTGTTGCACAACGGGTACAAAGGCGCTTGGGGACTAGCTGGGGGGTACGACCCTAGATACCCACTGCAGACCACATGGGCTACGCCCCCAGCGGTGGCCCAACCCACAAGACGAAGCCTTAAAGGGCATGACTCTGCTCGGCGCCTCCCGCAAGACACCAGGAAGATATCCTGGAGATACTACGAGATCTGTTAGGATGCATATGATCCCAAGATTTCTATAATATGTTATTACTTTCTGGTTATCTCTCAGATATAACCGACTTGTAACCCTGCCCCCCCGAACTATATAAGACGGACAGGGACCCCCTCCAAACTCACGCAATATCATACGATAGCTAATGCAAACCAACAAACCACAGGAGTAGGGTATTACGTTATACTGGCGACCTAAACCTGTCTAACTCGTGTATCTCTGTTGCCTTCCTGTTCTTGATCACACGCTTCTTTGCCGATCAATCTACCTTCGTGGGATACCCCTCGGAGGACTACCGATGATATTCTGTCGACAATCAAAGAAGTCAAAACATGAGGAGCTGTTTTGCCAACGTTTTCTAGAACGGCTTCTGAGCTGCTCTTTTAGAGGAGCCAGAGCCAGAGCCATTTTGGGAGGAGCCAGAGCCATGTCAAGCAGGCCCTTATTAATCACCAGTAAAAAGTCATATCATTTCGTTTAATTGTAATATATAAGTATTGTTGTCAAATATCAAACTACATGTTATATTTGATACCTAGTATATATCACTAGGGGTGGAGCCAGGAATTTGATTTTTTTATTCTAGAGGGGTCAAGAGTGTTAAATTTTTAGAATTTATTTGAATTTTAAAAAAATCAGTGAAAATTTCACATTCAGGGGCCCTCCCCGCCCCCTATCTCTGCCCCTTACATCGCATGAGCGATCATAGAATGTGAAGGTTTTTACGTGCAGAGTGTTTTTTTTTTATTTAGAGACATACAAGGGCTTAATGTCTGTTTATTAGCAGTTCTATATGTCGGTGTTTCATAGACCGACTAGTAAATCTCTACGATTGTCGCGCTGCTCCAGGAAAATGATGGTAGCATCCAAAAGACACGAGGAATTATACTGGTTCAGGCCGGAGCCCTACGTCTGGTCTCAAAGATAATAGAGTGCGTGTTCATCGCTTGAATGCTATGAAGTTCTTACAATTGGGGTGCAAGAATGGTAGAAAGAGGTAGGAGAGTAAAGCTAGAGCTAGAAGATGGACTGCCCGAATGAACGTTTCGGGGGTCCGATCCCTTGGATGAGTGCCCTGGCTGCCCTTATATAGAGTCCGGGGCCAGGTCACATACAAAGAAGGAGGTTCTGTCGACTGGGGGGTCGTGAGCCTAGGAGGAAACCTAGCTATTTTGGCTTGCAAGGAACGCCATCTTATCTTGGCGTAGCACACGCCCGGATGTGGTTGTCGTCATGGTCTTGTGTCCATGTCGTGGCATGGAGTGGCGTGGTGCTATTGTGCCGGTTGTGGCGGCACTGTAGGCACGGTGGTGATTCGCCAGCCATCCTGTGCGACGTGGTCTCGCCGTGGCCTATGTCATCGCCTCCTAATCTCTCAGAGGCGTCGTACGGGAGTCGGTAGTCACCCTAGGTCATTGGTCATCTTGCTGCTTTTGCAGAGCTGGTGGCCACGATCTCGAGCTCCAGGGTCATGGCCTTTGTTGGCTTGGATGGCCTCAAAAGTCAAGTCCGCTGTTGTGAACCCTATCCCGACCGAGGGGTCGACGCCCATCTCGTCGGGCCGTATTTGAACAGTGGGTCACCGTAGTGGCCGCCACTACTTGGTGTTGTTGTCTTGTCTTCACTGCGTGGCGCAGGGATGACGTCTGACCGGATTGAGGGGGCTGTTGTCCCTCGGTCCTTGCAGGGTCAGTGCTGTGTGCCGGCTCTTGTAAGAGCGGACACGCCTAGCAGAGTTCGATCTCTCCCCATTCCTCCCAGGTGTCGGGACGGATGAGAGGTTGTGTGATGCTGCGTGACGTGCGGAGGCAGAGAGAAGAGGTCATGGCCGACTCCCGCTTTGGTGTTTGGGCCAGGTCCACTTAGTTTAGTTGGGCCTCAGTCGTTCGGGCTTATACCAGCTCATGTACCGTGTGCCGCTCGAGCGGCTGACTAATCGATGTTTTGAGATACCCGGGGTATCATAACCCCGACACTATATATTAACATACTTATTTATTAAATAGTGTTGAAGGTACTATTAACAAATTGTGAGACCCTCATTGCACCTCGTATTGCACCTCATATAATGATAGGTGAACTCACCGTGTGAGTTTATCATATGTGATTAAGTGTTCTAAAAATTGTAGCAGCAAAAGGAACGAGAACCAAACACTCACATAAGAAACTATATGATGTGCCTAACTTGGGACATGTTAAGTAACCTGTAGACACAGTCCGAACATGACCTTAATATTTTGTTCAACTACACTAGTTATCTCATCTCAATCAGAAAAAGATTGAATAATTTGTAGATTGTAACCAATAGACATAGAGTTTTCTACCAACGCCATATGATGGGCAATGCCTCTTTTATTCGGTCACCTTATCCTACCACTGTTACGAAAAAGGTTTTAGAGACGACTAGAACGAGCCTATAGGATCCGCGCGTCTCTACTTATTCGTAGGAATCGTTGTATACACATGCATGCTCGCCTAGCCTAAGTCATGTCACAAACGTGCATGAGCTCAGATTTGGCTGATGACATCAGTGAATACTCCATCTCTATTTAACTATCACTGTGAGATGCGTAACTTTCTTGAGTTTTGATTAAGTTTATAGAAAATATTAACAATATTAGTATCTCTAAATAAATTTAGTATAAAAACATATTCAACAATCTATATAATAATACTAATTATGTACTATAAATTTTAATAGTTTTTTACATATTTAGTCCAAGTTAAGTATGTTTCCCGACAAACGATAACAATGCATTGAAGGATCCAAGAAAAAGAGTGAGATTTTTTTGTATATTTCAAAAACGATCGAACGATGCATTGGCCCTCGATCGTAGATCAAGATCGGCGTTTGCCTTTTGCGTTGGATTGATTATGAAGTGTTATTTGCACCATTGTCCCTTTTTTTTTAGTACTAGTCGGTTTCTGATGAGATTTCCTAGTAGGATTACTTAACCTAAGATTACATGGGAAGAATCCTAGTTGAACTAGATCTTCTCTCTCTTGCAGGGTATCCTGTGGGTCCCGCATCGACAAGAAGCCACCGCAAGCACATCCCTAATTGTGTAGTGCTTCGTGAAAAAACGAACTCCATTTAAATGAAACAGAGTTTCAAAACACAAAGAAATACGTAGTATATATATATATATATATATATATATATATATATATATATATATATATATATATATATATATATATATATATATATATATATATATATATATATATAGTGCATAGATAGATATAGACAGATATATCATTTGTCAAGTACGGAGTAGAAAGCAATAAAAAGACACGGAAACTTTGTGCACTTTAGAACAGGGAACTGAAGACTTGTCTGCAGAAAAACCGATCCTGTCCAGCCCCAGCCTCCTGAGCCTGCACGCCTCGTCCGTCGTCCCTAGTCTCACTCTCATCCCATCCGATGTTCATGTTCTCCGCCGCACGCTGCCTCGTCCCTAGTCTGTACCCCCACCCGCACGCGCCCGCCTGCCGCCGCGCGCCGGCGCCCACCGCGGTGTCAGCCAAGCCGCGCCGCTCGAGCCGAGGCTCCCGCCGCGAACGCTCGTGGGACGACGATGACGGCGGCGGCTCAGATTCCGACGTCGACGACGGCTTCTTCGGCCAAAAGCAGGACGAGGAGGCGCCAACGCCCTCCCCCGGACGGCCCTCCACGCCAGCGCCCCAGCTGCGGGGGTCTGACGTGCTGCGCGCGCTGCAGAGGGCCGCCGCGGCCAAGGAGGCCGCCAGGAACAAGAAGAAAGACATGAAGAAGCCGGCGGCGCGCCAGCGGCAGGGGAAGGAGACGCCGGCGGGTGGCGACGTGGAAGTCCGGGAGGTGAGGCCTGTGGTGATAAGGCCCGAGTGGGCGGCGAGGATCCGGGAGCTGGAGCTCAGGGTGCAGCAGCTCGCCGCCGACAAGTATAGTCAGTAGTCAGTACTCAGTGGAAGGAAATGATGCAACCACACTAACCAGTGGCCAATGGGTGATGAGTGAGTGAGCAGGGGTTGCTCTGCTTTTCTCATCGTGTTGCTCTCTCAGACTCTTTCACTGTCTGCCTGTCTGTCTCAAACCAATTCCAAGAACTAAATGATCAGATAGACAATTCTGCTGCGCACATTCGCCCTTACGAGCCGTACTATTTCATCTAACGAAATGTGTTGTTCTCACACAACAAATCAATGAACAGTACTTTCAGCCATGACTTTTCAGCGAAACGAACATGACCATTATGTTAGCACTTGCGTTCCAGGCTCCCTCACTGCCAACTGATGTGCAGAAGCACTCCAAAGTCCAAACTGATGTTGGCAAGGCAATGAAGCTGACATTCCATGACCTCGAAGGCACTCCTCAGATCAGATTGCAAGACCAGAGATCCGCCTATTCTCTATGAGCAATGTGATCAAGTATATGCTAGCATCCAGGTCTCTCTGCTGAATCCTGATGAGATAAGAATTCTCAGGGGATTGCTGTTTTCTTTTTTCTCTGTTTATCTCCTACTGATGTCTAACTGCAACTTTCACCGGTTGCATTCAATGGATCAATAGCTGTGTAGTAGTTCTTGTCAGATTTATCAATATATACAGTGAGAATCAGTGATGGTCAGCTCACACTGCACTTTGAACTTTAACCGAATGTATCAGTATAGTGATGTTCAGTTCACACTGCACTTCGAATGAATCTTCACCCGTAAGCATAGAGACTCATGGCGAGTTGCGCTATCTGCAATAGCTCATTTCCATCAGCCATTGTTCACCCATCAGCTATGATTTGGAAATAGTCTAAGATTCCTAATGCAAAATTGCCTTACATAGTATCTTTTGGAAACGAGATTTTGAAAATGGTTGGAGAAACCCAACAAATATGCCACCAACTTTTACTTGAAAAATTCATTGATTTACTTATTTTTTTTTGAATTATGGAAGATGCTCTAAGAGAACATGGCATGTGAGCAAATGCATTTCGCAACTGGTTAATAATTAAAGGAAAAATCAAAATCACAACATCACATCACATGGGCCTGCCTATACCTATACTAAGAAGACAAAGGCCGGCCCATAACCGACCTTTAGACCTTTGGCAGCGGCCCAAGGTCTGTCCTCCCCCACACCCTCACCCTCGCGCCGCCAGCCAGACCGGCCGCCCTTACCCGCGCCGCCCGCCTCCTCTTCGCCATGACGGTGGCTGCCGCGGCGGACGAGCACCAGCAAGCCCTAGGTGACGACGGCGCGGCCATGAAGGAGCTGGAGGCGCAGCAACCGTCCTACTGCTCGCTGGCCGCGCCGGTCACCAACCCCGTCGACAAGTTCGCGCTGCTCCCCGCGTTCCTCAAGGTCCGAGGCCTCGTCAAGGAGCACATTGACTCCTTCAACTACTTCATCACCAGGGGAATCAGGAAGACCATCGAGGCAAACAATCGCATTGAAGCGCGCAATGACCCAAACATTTACCTTAAGTATGTCTGTTGTGTATGTATTATGGTCTGTTCTATTCTATTCATTCATTCCACAGTGACAGTACTGCTCTTCAGCAATCGTCTATACATTACCGTAGCTTGTTTTGTTTTCATGCCCGATTCTGATAATTCTCTTCTCCTGTGCGTGCTGTGTACCTATCTGTTTCTGCCCGCCCACTGTAATTCAATTCCGTCCAGGTACACCAAAGTATATGTTGGCACGCCCTCCGTTCAAGTGGATTACAAAATCGAAGCTATCACGCCGCACTTTTGCCGCCTTACTGACCGCACGTAAGCCTCCGATCACGCCCAGATTCATAATGTATCTATCTGTTTGCATTAAATCAACCCGTCAATAACTTCGGATGGATAATCTGATTATGTGAAACGGAAAGCCAGCCTTGCATCTTTGCCAAACTCATAGCCTGTTCATCTTGTTGGTACTCTGGCAGGGCTGTTTTCTCAGTGCATGCTTCCTGCTGATTTATCACTTCTCATGATAACAGCTCTGATCTTTTCATTTCTACCTTCAGTTATTCTGCTCCTATAAGAGTTGATGTCGAATATACCGTAGGCAAGCAGCAAAAACCACAGGAGAAGGTACCCATTAGTCTGCTTTAAGTAACTTCTACACGCTTGACGTGATTTTTTTTTTAACTATACTTGCCCTTCTTAACTTGCTCCTCTGAAGAATATTCTTATTGGCTACATGCCCATCATGCTTAGAAGTTATACATGTATTCTGCATGGAAGGGATGAGGCTGAGCTAGCAAGACTCGGTTAGTCTATTTCTGAAATGCTTATCGTTTATCTTACTGTTTATCCTGATGGTTTCACCATTGTGTTCCTAGGTTAGTGCCCTCTTGATCCTGGTGGCTACTTTATTGTCAAAGGGACTGAGAAGGTACCTGAAAGGAACAATGCATTTTTTTAATCCAAAAAGAGTATTGCTAAACCTATGAACCCATTAGTTACAGGGCTAGCTGCAAGTGCTTTTAGTTTTGTTGCACCTGTTTCCCGTGCTTCTTTTGTGCACCAATAATCTTGAGATATTTGTTACTTTTCAGGTCATTCTAATACAAGAACAGCTATCAAAGAATTGTATTATTATCGACACCGATAGTAAAGGAAGGTCATACTCAATATTAAATATTGACTTATTAACTTCCTCAACTATCTTAATTTTTGTATTCTTCTCTAGCAAATGAGTGTTTCAGTTTGACAATTGTCATAAGTTACATAACTTTGTCCTAAATTTACTGGCATGCAATGTTTCAGCATCTTTCTGAGTGGCCTTACAACTCTTAACTGTAGTCTGAATTCAGGCTAGAAGTTGTTAGGAAACTCTAATTCCAACCATCATGGTTAATATAAATACCATAGCCTTTGAGTTCCGTTGGTCAGTCATTGCTGAAATAAATTCTTTTCATGTGCTCTTGCTCATGGCAGTTCATTGCTAGCTATTTGGTCCTATAGCACTAGAGGTTTTAGTACCTTCTGTGAAGTGGGTTACTATTCAACATCTTATGTGGTCACCTGTATTTTCTGTCAATTAGGGTAATTGCATCTGTTACCAGCAGCACACATGAAATTAAAAGCAAGACCGTGATTACTATGGATAAGGAGAAAGTCTACCTACAGCTGAATCAGTTCACGAAACCGGTACGCATTGCAAATCCTGTTAGCTTGTTAAGTAATCCTTCCATTTCATTACATATGGGACCCTACTATTTTATTAGCTTGGGATAAGGAAGACACCAAAATTGAATGCAATAAATTATTTCGTGGTACTGGGCGTGATTGATGGTGTGGTTCATTAGTAGATTTAGGATGTTTCGTGTCTCCCACTCTCCCTTCATTCTAGATAAACAAGAGAAATAGAGAGAAGATTTCATTGTTTCTTAAGGACCGAAAGAGAAAGCTACATAAGAAAGTTTTTGAGAGGTAAAAGCTCTTCGTTAAAGAGCCTGAAGTCTTATTTGTTTGCCTACTTGCTTTATGCTGTCAGAATCTGTTATCATGTTGCCTATATTTGGTAGTATAGGATAGTTTCCTTTATTATTTAACTAAATTGGTTAGTTAGTTGGAAACATTCCCTGGAGATTGATACGTAATGCATCCTGCGGCTTGCCTGCTGTGTGCTAGATTCGTTCTCTTCCTTGCCTTTCTGAAGAGTTGATCCTAAACATCCATCAAAGATGAAACTAGCAAAACCTATCTACTTAACAATGTGCTGAGAGCCTTACTTTTGAGTTTTTTCTTTACGCAAAAGACTGGTGGAGATCCCCACAGTTTTTTTTTTTTTAGTTTTGTAACATCTAACTATGTTAGCTCTAATTAGAATTTCATGTGTATACCTACTGAGAGAAATTTAAGTCGTTAAAGATGCCAACGACATCTCCGATAACGTGTGTGAGTTATAAAGTTACATCCATGTGTCGCTGTCAAGTGCCAAGTGATCACAGGAGTAACCTGTTACTCTCATGTGAATTTTCTTTTGCCCAACTTACTTAGGTTCTTAATGTAAGGAGGCAATCTTTCAAAATTTAAGTGGGTTGTTTTCTTGTTTGATAAGAGCACCATGATCTAAATTTCCTTCTCCTTCCTTAATTTCACATTTGACACCTTATTGAACGCTCGAAAGGTCCTTGGGTCCTATGTTATGGCATGGAAGAAGTGGACACTTTATGACTTTGTTTCGGAGCTTTAAAATCTACAGATTCCAATAATGGTGGTCATGAAAGCTATGGGAATGGAAAGCGATCAAGAGATTGTACAAATGGTTGGAAGAGATCCAAGATATGGTGACATCCTATTCCCATCTATTCAGGTATTTTTTTTCTTGATAAAATGGATAGCCTCTCAAGTGCACAGGTGGATAATTGGATTTGTGCTTTGTTTTAGATATTTCTGTTGCACCTTTTTTTCTTGTTATAAATTATGCCTTTTATATTTTAGGGTATTAGCATTTTCTTTTTTCTCAGGAATGTGCTTCAGAGAGAATATATACACAACAGCAAGCCCTGCAGTACATGGACGAGAAGGTGCCCCCCCAAAAAAAAAAAAAAAAAACATAAATTATCATTGCTCAATCTGTTTTTTGTTTTTTAATTGTGCCGAGTGGATCACAGTGCGCTAAAAGTTGCACAATGTGCATTCTAAGCTTTGTAAGAGTAGATCCCTGAGTTATGTATTCTGTCTGCAGAAGTAGTGTTTATGGCATTTGCTATCTTTTAGAGATATGTTAGTCATGCCTCTTTCCTTTCATTGACATGATGTAATCCAACCATAAATTTTCTGTTTGATTTGCTTGTGGCATCCTTTCTATTCCTGATCCTGAGTGTTTTTTTGGCAGGTCACTTATGCTGGTGCAGGAAACCAGAAGGTAATGGAACTGACAGAGTAAATCCATGACAAGCTATGAACTTATTTTCTCACTACACATTAAGTAACTACAGCTGGCACATGTTCCAAAACATGCGTTCAAAACAACATAGTCCACATTCTTGAGCACTCAATCATCTGGCCTCTGATGTGCCTCTGTCACTTTCAGGAAGGCCGTGCAAGATCAATCCTGCGTGATGTGTTTATTGCACATGTGCCGGTGAGATAAACGTTTTTATAAAACTTTTGCTTGCAGTTTACTGTTCTCGTTTTCATGTCAATCTCCCCTATAGGTTGAGAATGGCAACTTCCGACAAAAATGTATATACACTGGTGTAATGTTGAGGCGCATGATGGACGCGATCTTGAATGCTGACACCTTTGATGACAAGGCAAGTTAAAATCTGGCCTATGCATTACTCTAGTGAAGAGTGGTCTTGGTTCAGTTTGTTCTCACCTCAATGTTGATCTACATCATCATGGCACTTGATCTACCCTCATGGGCTTTGAAGGCAATTGATAAGATAAGAAGGGGTTTCCTATGGAAAGGAAGAAGAGATGTCAGGGGGGGGGGCACTGTTTGCTAGCCTGGCCAAAGGTCACTAGATCTCTTAATCTGGGAGGTCTTGGTATTTCTAATCTTCAAAACTTGGGATGGGCTTTAAAACTCCGATGGTTATGGCTGCAGAAAACAGAACCTGACAAAGCCTGGGTTTTTTTTCCCCATCCAAGCTCAATCTCAAGTCCAAGCATTCTTTGCTATGGCTGTTGACACAGTAGTAGGCAATGGAAAAAATACTCGTTTTTGGACAGATAGATGGTTGCTTGGTCAGAGCTTAGAACAGGCCATGCCACATTTGTTTAGCGCTATAGCAACCAGAGCAAGGAAAAGATCAGTTTACGATGCTATCACGGGGGGAAAATGGGTTTCTGATATAAGAGGTGCTTTAAGTGTGCCTGTTCTGATTGAATACCTTCACCTTTGGGGGCTTTTGTCAAATGTGGTACTGCATCCTGAGGTGGAAGATACACATATCTGGAAACTTTCAGCTTCCGGTATGTATTCTAATAAATCAGCTTATGAGGCCTTGTTCATTGGAGCTACTCATTTCAGTCCTTGGGAGTTGATCTGGAAGAGCTGGGCCCCAGGGAAGTGCAAGTTCTTCATGTGGACAGTAGCTCACAATAGATGTTGGACAACTGACAGACTAGCACGTCGAGGTCTTGATCACCCAACGCAGTGTCCACTCTGTGATCAGGCTGGTGAAACAATAGACCATCTTCTGATCCCTTGTGTCTTCGCCCGGCAAACATGGTACAACATTCTGCAATCTTTTGGACTGCAAGATGTGGCTCCACAAATGGTTGATTTGATTTTTGTGGACTGGTGGGAGGGTGCTTGCAGCAGGCTTTCTGGTCAAGTGAAGAAAGGGTTCAATTCCATTATTATTTTGGGAGCTTGGTTAATTTGGAAGCATCGAAACCATTGTGTTTTTGATGGTGGAACTCCTAGCCTAGCTAGGGTCCTCTCAGCTTTTAAGGAAGAAGCTCAGCAGTGGGCAGCAGCAGGGGCTCGAGGAGTTTCTTATCTCCTTGCCCTGGCTCCTACCTCCTAGCTCTTTTTGGGTCCGGTGGTTTTTTGGTCCTGCCTTATAGTTCTCTAGAGACACAACGTAGTTTGGGTTCTTAGGGTGGGTTGCAGGCCCTTTTCTCTGTAACAGTTTTTTGTTTCTGTGTTTTTGTAACAGTTTTTTGGGGCTCTTTTCCCCCTCCTTTTTCTTCTTAATATATTGATGCGCAGTTCTCCTGCGCGTTCAAGAAAAAAAGAAAAAAAAATGACTCCAAAAACATATCCATGTGCCAAAAGTCGTCATCTTCTTTGCCATTATCAGTGCTGCTTAAGAAATGAAAATCCATTCAAATTCAGCGCTTGCGTTTTTTTTTGGGGGGAAGGACCAAAGTCCATGCCTTTGCTTGAAGGCATGTGGAACCCGGGCTTAACCCAGGCGGGCAGACTCCCAGTGCTACTGTGCCTTCTGCTAAATCAGTGTGGGTTGCAACAGAATTAACATAACATTAATAGTACCATCATATTTTTATTGAAATGGATGTTATCATGTCACCTTTGTGGAGCTTCAATTTTGGCTAGTGCATACATGGCTTGCTAAGATTTTCTTAGGCATCCGGTCTAACCTTCCTACCCTCAATTTTCCTTTACAATAGTTATGGGATACAATTTGTTTGCCATGACATGTTTGGCAATATACACTCCCACATTTTTAATCATGAATTGTAGTTGTTCTGCCAAACACATGGACTTGTACTTGTTATGTTGATTTGCTGTGCACAATTGTACCTTGCTATTAGTCGCACAGATAAGGTTTGTCCATAATTAGCCATTATCAATTTTAAATTATGCCTTTTTGGTGTAAGTACCTAAGGTTTCATTTGGTTTACTGAACTGAGCCCATGACTGAGGAATTGGAATCTCTGAAGCTGAATTCTGCTGTTTGGATGCACATGGAATTTGAATTTGCATCCCTGTTCAGCCTGAATTTGTAGATCTTAGCACTTCTAATTTCGGAACCTGACACCCCTATCAACTCTGGTGAGGTTAATGGCAGAGCTCTGCTGCAGCCACTACAGGTTGCCTTTTCCTCTCCAACACTCAGATCTGCACACCCCTGTCATCGTCACCAGTCTCGATCTCGAATTTGTTCTGCGCATATCATCGTCAGCCCTAGGATTTGAATACTGACGAGCTCATAGGAGATGACGTGGGCTTTTGCAGCCATGAGGAACTTGCCAGGTCGGTGCACCTTCTTGGGATGGTGAGCTTGCCGAGCTCCTTGTGAACGGCACGAGCTGCAGAAGCAGTGGGGAACTCGCCAGGATACCACATCTTCTCAGATGGATGCACTTGCTGAACTTTTTTTTCTTGAACATGCAGGAGAGCTGCGTATTATTGTATTAAGAAGAGGGAAAAAATGGATATAGTACCCTTACAAACAACACTCAACACGAGCAAGACCAATCCCCACTAGGGATCCAAGAAGGAGAAAAACCTAAACTGCAAAATACTGACCAAGACCAGCCCCAACAACCCTGACCTAGCCTTCCTCAGGTGCTAGGGCAGCGAGGTAGGAAATACCATGTGCCCCAGCCAAAGCCAAAGTTTCAGCTCATCTCTAACATGGACCATGATCAAGGAAAGACTCGGTGTGACTCCATAAAAAACACACCGGTTGTGGAGTTTCCAAAATAGACCAAGCACCTAAGATGATCAATGAATTGAGGCCCTGCCTGACATCCCCTTCAACCCTGGAATTCACCAATCATCAAAGGATGGGACTGTAGGCTGCAGAGAAAGGCTATACAACCCAACCCCTCGGACTGTTGCTGAACTCCTTGCGATTGGATGCCCTGTGACTGTTGCAGAATGCAGATTCCGATGGTGGCAACGTGAGCAGCAGCTTCGACATGGACAAGTCCAACTCCTGCATGCGGACAGGGTTGAGGTTCATGTCCTGGCCATAGACCACTAGCCTCCGTTCCCGATGAGTGTTACAACCATTTCTTTTTGGGTTTCTGAAAATGTTCAACCAAACAACATTTGGACTTAATTTAATCTGATTTTCTTTTCACCAAGTCCATTACTAGCCATACAATAAAATTGAATTGTAGTTCCATTTCCATCTATACATGTATTGGCATGAAGCCACAAATTAATCTGATCCAATTTGGCAAACCAAATGCAGCCTAAATGGAATATAAGGCACTCTGAATTATAACTTCTACTAGCATATGATCACTTAAGATACCATTTATAGGAAATGTGTGGCCCATTTCTCATTAATTTTACTCATATTTTGCTTGTTATATGTGTGTATTTATGGTGGGTTGGGTAAATATTGTTGAAAACAAACGGAGCATAATTTAGGTTTTCGAGGTGAACTATAGCTATGCATTCTGCCTCAATTATCCACAACCTGCGGCAAGGATGACATACTGATTATCTGGGAAACTTACATGCCTATTTTTCTTTGGAGAACCAAACCATCCATGCTGAAGTACAGTTGACTGCACATAGTTTCTGCCAAGCTGTCCAGAGTATAATTGGACCTGTCAGATTGCACAGCTCTGATCATGATGAGCCTGGGTGGCAAGTAGGATAACATGTGCATTCAGTTTTGCCTCGGTGTTGTTTCTGTGCCAGTTTATCCAAACAATCCCTTTCCTTTTAACCTTTGAGGTTTTAGATAATTTGCTATTAAATATTTGTATGTTCCATTTGGTGGTAGTCAATTAGAATTCCTTGTCAATACTAGAATGAGCTACACAAGAACAAGATATTCTTAAATTTGCGGTATAATGGGGTCTAATTTATGATCTATATAGTCCAAGCGATTAGATAGCTTCATCAAATAGAAATACATTGAAGTTAAGTAATTGGTCACTATTTATATGAAACTTCTCTTCTTGAACCCTTCTTAAAGGGAAGAAATTGTTCCTCGTTTCTACTTGCAAATTGATCTGGACCACATGTTCACCGCCCTGCTGACATATTTTACTGAACATATTTCAGGATTATGTAGGGAATAAGAGGCTGGAGCTGTCGGGTCAATTAATATCCCTGCTTTTTGAGGTATTTTTTTCTCTTATATGGTTTCTAAATGTTATGTTTTATATCTCTAATTGTTTTTCTTTTTTGAAGGATTTGTTTAAAACAATGAATTCCCAAGCTGTAGAGCTGATGAACAAAAATAGTGACAGGACTCGTTCTAGCCCATCGGATTTTAGCCAGGTAATGAAAATGAGATTTATATTTGTTGATCTTCATTTGATCCGTTTGTAATGAAAATTGAAGGCTCAACTGAATAGCTGATGTTGCTATTGCATCACACATTTTCTGTGTTCTTCACTTATGTTACCTAGATGAGCAGACTTGCATAAGAACAGAAGTATCTTTGGTGATTTTTAACACCTCTAGTTTACAACAAGGAGCAGAGCTTATTCATTTTCATCACTCATTACTCATCTCTAATTCTGATAACTTGAAGAGTCTTCATGATCGTTTATGTTAGTCATGTACTCCCTCCGTCCCTTTTCAACTGCCGTTCTCACTTCTCGAGAAGTTAAACGTACTCAACTTTGACCAAATATATATAAGAAAATATTATTATTTATGGTACATAATTAGTATCACTAGATTGATCGTTGAATCTATTTTCATAATAAACTTATTTGGAGATACAAATGTTGCTAATATTTTGTACAAACCTATTCAAACTTAAAGAAAGTTTGACCAACACGAATACCATAGCGACACTTAAAAAGAGACATAGGGAGTATGTATCATATATATACACCTTATGCGTGTATGGGCCCTGGCCCTATTGCTTACAGTTTAAACACAACAATTTTGACTGTTGTTGAAATGCATTCTTCATTCAGTTTGTAGCATATGGGAACCTGGTAGGGGAGTTACTGAGGGTGCCTAAATTTTGGATACACATTTATCCATCTTGTTCTGCACATAATATTGTGGTGAGATGTTACTGTGCTTGGGAGTTACAATAGCTGCTGGCTTGTTCAAATATAATGGTCAGAGAATAGAAGACACATACTAAATGTAAATTTATGTGTGGATGATACTTCGAACACTCGGTTTTCCTAACCTGATATCTCGTAATTTGCCTATGAGAAAGTTCCTTCTCCCATGAACATTAATTTGCCTTTGGATGCAGTATTTGTATTTTGTGTAACCGTTTTACTTATGGAACGTTTGTTCATGTCTTATTCTGCTATTCTCTAATTTAATATAAAACTTGGTTTCTGTGTTCGATTCTTTGCTTGAGAATATCCAATTTAGAATTGAACCTGTAATTTTCTTTGTTTGTATCACTTCAGATTATTCTTCAAAGAGTTGGATAATGGACATGATATGTTTAGTGGATTCCTTGCATCTTAAGATCATTTTAAGTTTTACATATGCTCTGAACACTGACTTGTTCTAAAAAGGTAGTAATCTAAAAATGGCCTGTTTGGTTGACCTTTGTATTTTATGAAATGGGCAAAATAACTAAGGCTCCATGAGTTTGAGCGTGTAGACGTGAGCAGGGAAGAAATCTCGAATGTTAAGGCAATCTAGCCCACATTAAAAAAAAAAAACTGGTTCTCAAAGACTCACCGTATTTTATCTTACATTTCCCATGCATCTTATTATATAGTTCATTCCACCCTATAATATCTGTTCTGCAGAATTTGAAACTCTGGACCTAAAAAAGGATCAAATTCAAATTCTGTAAATTTGTGGCCAGAATTGAATTTGGTTATATATAACTAGATTGTTATCTTTTGTTTAAGTGTACAATTTTTTTATTCCATCCCATTTGACTCATTTTTTTCTTTTTGCCTCATCAGTCGTATGACTATAGGTAAAATGATTGAACTTATCGGTGGAAAGGCTGGTGTGTCTTGTGGTCGATTCCATTATGGCAGTGCATTTGGTGAACCAAGTGGGAATGCTGATAAGGTTGAAGACATAAGGTATACTTCTGTCATACTGACACCTCAAGTTTGTCTAATTGATCTTTTTAACACTGTTTTTTTTCTTTTATACCAGCAATACTCTAATCAAGCATGGCTTCAGCTGTAACGGAAAAGATTTCTTGTACTCCGGTAAATTCTAACACTGACAAGCTTTAAAATTTCATGTTATTTGCTATTCCACCAAATCTGCAAATCATGTTATTTGCCAGTGTGCAAACATAGGTTAGATACAAACCAATGTATGCTTAGGTTAATGGAAAATTACAAAGGATAATTTTTAGTCCCTCCAATTAAAAGTAAATGTCATTTAGGACATTAACATGGTCGACAAGGTGGAACTTTGATCAATAATTTCAACAAAAAAATTGTGAGATTGCAAATAAAGGTAATTAGGAATTTTGAAAATGCTTTCCATGGTGAATGTATTAACATCTATTTTTAATTGTGAACCTATGTATTTGTTTATGTATTGATTCTCGAAGTGAAAAAAAAAGTTTGACATTCCAAATTCTAATACTGCATGTATTTTGGATCAAAATAGTTTGTAAACATACACAAATTTATAGTTATATTATCCACTTAGGAAATCTAGATAAATGGTGGGATCTACAGCTTCTGTAGCTGTCTTATATTACATTATTCTAATTATGCAAATTTCTGTGGAACAACATCATATTTCTTATTTCTTAAACATTAGATGGCTTCCTTTATGTATTGTGAGCATCCTCGCTACTTGGGCCTGCAATGGATCTTCAGAGCTGATTTTGGACCCCCTCCCCATTTCAGGCATTCTAGGTCATCCTCTGGAGGCATACATATTCATGGGGCCAATCTACTATCAGAAACTGAAGCACATGGTAGGGATAGCTTATCTATATTGTTTTTTTGGGCTTGGCTTTAATTGAGGCCTTGTTTTCTAAACCTGCCATTTGTCATGCTGTACTTTTGTTCTGAGACTTGTCTAATCTAACCTTTTAAACTCTGGTTATCTGTATGCCCATGAGTAACAGGGGTGAAAGATAACGCCATGGATATTCCCACTGAAAAGTACTCCCATAACATTGCAATTTATTAGGTTTATAAGACTGTCTCCAACGATCCATACCCAAAACACAAGACCCATTTCACGTTTGGGTAGCGCTACAGTTAAAGGGTTCAATATCCATTTTTAGTCTTCTCCAACAACAAGATCCAAAAGAGAACCATTTCTGCAAATGGGTCTCCAGGAGAGAGGATACTCAGATTTGGGTTATACCTCTCTTGACACCTAAAATGGGTCTTCTATATAGGTACTCTGTTGGAGGTTATAGGTTTTGTGTTGGAGACCCATTTTGAGTTTGGGTCTCCTTATAGGTCTCCTGTTGGAGACAGCCTAAACACATTACAAGAAAACTTGGTGGTGCCGAATCCGTAAACAATTTTGTTGACATGTGAATTCTCGAGGTTCTTGATAAGATGCATGCTCGAGCTAGTGGACCATGAGTGTAATTGACCAGGCAACCTACTGAAGGGCGAAGTCGCGATGGAGGTTTTGCAACACTATAATATTCTGCAATTATATGACTTTGCCCCTGTACCCTTTCTTGTTTGCCCTTGCTTAATATTTTCTTTTTTATAGGTCTTCGTCTTGGTGAAATGGAGCGTGATTGTTTGATTGCATATGGTGCTAGCATGCTCATCTTTGAACATCTTTTGCTATCCAGTGATCCATATCAAGTTCAGGTGATTTTCGAAGTAGTTTGTTTCCTTTTGGAAGAAGCTGGAATTGATCAAGGGGCATAATTGCTCATGATTTTGTTTTAGGATTAGTATGATTATGAAACCTAACACAATATCAGGTGGCTAAGCATTTAAGGCTCTATCCAGGAAAATAAATTTGATGTATTAGATGTTAATCCGTTAATGGACGAGCATTTCAAAAGAGTTAACCCTGTTTACATTATTCATGACATGGTAGATTTTAGATTTATTTGACCAGTGCCATCACAAAGCACTTGTATTGGGCATTGGCTGTGGGCTCACATTGTTTATGGATCTGAATGTTGGGGGCAGGTTTGCAGAAAGTGTGGCTTGTTGGGGGTACTACAATCACAAACTGAAGACTCTGCACTGTTCAATGTGCAAGAACGGGGAAAATATGGCCAAGATGAGGCTGCCATATGCTTGCAAGCTTTTGTTCCAGGTATTGCCATATTGCGCTGCTTTGTTGGAGTTGTGGTGCAATGTTTGTAATAGGCCATTAATGAACGGTTGTCCTCATGTGTGTTTGTTGATTTTTGCTAGGAGTTGCAAGCGATGAATGTTGTTCCACGACTGAAGTTAACTGAAGGATAGCTCTAGATTGCAAAGCTATAGAATGGTGGTTTGTGGAGGTCCTTGTAAAGTTGGATTGTTGTAGGCTTGGTCCATGTTACATAGGCGCTGTTATTTGTCAAGAGCAAGCAATTAATTAGCATCACTACTGTCTGGTTTAGACGTAGAATGCATGTATAACTGGTAAATAGCCCATATAAATAAAATGGAAACATCAGGCGGGAGAATTGATCGGCATATATACCAATTAATTGGCACCACTTCAGTCTTACATACTGGTTTCTTGCAAGCATAATATCATGCTGATAAACATATATTGTAGATAAACAATACTTATATTGGAGTTTGCACTATTGCACAGTAGTAGCTGTATGTATCATAGAAGGGAGATGATGGCGAGGGTGATGACCGCCTGTTGAAACAGGTGTTTGCTCTCTGCTTTCACGGGTGGCTCCAAGCCCTGCTCCTCGAACTCATCCTCACAGGTGACGGGCGCGTCGATCGTGGCGCTCATGGATGTCTTGGCGTCCGCATACCTCCTCTCCTCGATGGCTGCAATGGAGCTGTCGAGGTCGTACAGGGAGTTGTGGTACACCCCCGTGCACGCTTCCAGGCAGGACCTCCGGGGAGACCATGGCCTCTCCTTCCTGCTGAGCTCCGCCATCTTGGCCTCCATGCCCACCGCGCCTGACCTCACCAGCTTGGCTGAGATCATGGCGAGTTCGTGGAGGTCCGCCTGCCTGCTCTCGGGGTCCGACGACAGAGACGAGACGCAGAGGGTGTAGTTCACCTGTGGGTTGCCCTGGCTGCATCTCTCGCAGGTGTCGGTTACGACGTCAGTCAACTGCGACGGCCCAAACTTTGTGTTGGTGGTGGCCATGGCTGAAGCTGCAGCTGCAGCCGAGGGATTGTTCTGTTGTAGGAGGAGGATTGTTATTGTTATCAAGGAGGAGGAGAAAAATGGAACAGAGACAGAGGAGCAATAGCAAGGTGGTGGTGGTGGTGGCATCTTGTGATAGTACATTGCAATTGCATGCTAGCTACTATCATCTGCTACTTGTTGGAGTCCCGTGCATATATAACTTTGGTGGACAGCAAACAAGTAGTTTGTTTGGCAAGTTCTTTTTGATGTAGTTTGGGAGGTTTAAATTTGTGACGTGTTACAAGTGAGCCGGCCTGGTGATAGCGAAAGAAAACGGGATCCTTCCTTATTTGCATTTGCCTTGTTAAGTATGGTTTCGTTCATCTTGCTACGTATATGTTCCATTCCAAACTATAAGACGTATCTAAAAAGCCAAAATGTCTTCTAATTTAAAAATGAAGGGAGTAGTATATATGAATTACATTGTTAAGCAAATTAAGCTGCCAAAGCAGAGTAATGATTGCATTTGGACGAATGGATCGTCGGCAAATTAGTTTCAAGAGGACCCGATCGACCGAAGAAAGAAGTAGGGTCACGTGCCTGGTGCTTTGTCCCTAGCTAGCTCCGATCCCAGCCAATGCAAGGTCGATCGCTGAAGCGTGCAAGCAACCTGTTGGATCGTTTGTTGCTCAAGGTCGTTGCAATTTTCTCCTTGCGAATCCTCCCTCGATTGCATGCAATGCAGAGTTTGTTGTGCAACCACCGAACCACAGTAGGATCAATTAGAGCAAGGTCACTTGCGGTGGAACATATCCATGTGGATTTGAGCCTATGTCTCAGCGGTATGTATTGATATATGTTTTAATGTTTATCTTTAATTATTCTTTCAGTAAAAGACAACATGTTTTGTTTTGTTTGCCTTTTCCTTTTGAGACTATGGTTACAATTCCTTTACTTGGCAGCAAAAGGAAAAATAGAGATAAAAAGTGAAAGTTCAGTAGGGTCGCAGGGTTGAGTGTACGTTCATGTATGTTTGTTAGAGCATCTAGCGTCTGTAATGTGTTTCAAGAAAAAAAAAGGTATGCATGCATGTAAAGAACAAAATAATAAATAAAACATATCAACAGATATATCTCTAAAAAAACTGATGAACAACTGATTAATAATAAATGAATAAGGCTTTTATTCCTTGTGTTTCTCTTCATCTGATGAGGAAACCCTACACAACATATGTATATATCCAACAGCAGCACATGCATAAGAAAAAAATAGAAAATCACACAAAATTAAATATAATCGATGACTACTAGAATGTATAATTGATATAGTGTACGCCTTGTTGCTCGATATATATATCGAAAGCATGCATCAATGCATACATGGTCGACCAAGCCCGGCAGGCAACTATATACTATAGGATCATGGAATATATGACGAAGGAACCAATGCATGCAACAAGAGCTAGCAGAGATGGATATGATGCATATATAATGGAGATATATGAATATACGACTATATATATGTATATCACTGGACGCATGCATGCTTGCAAGTAGGGATCATCGATCCGGCGAGTCGACGGAGATGATGGGCGGCCGGATGCATGATGGATGATGGATGTTGGATGGATGCACAAGAAGAAGAGAAGCGTTCATGGATGCATGATATGATGATTCATGCGGCGGCGGCGTGTGTGAATCCGAAGGCGATGTGCGCCATCCGTCCGTACTCCCTGTCGTGCGCGGCGACGGGGACACGGTGCTGCTCCTCCTCGCCCTTCCACGCGTCCTCGCAGCTCTCGGAGGCGCCCATCGCGGCGGTCAGCTGCTCCATGGCCTTGCCGTAGATCTTGGCCTTGAGGTTGTCGAGCGCGTCGCGGAGGAGGTCGGTGGCGCCTCCGTACTGCTCCAGGCAGTGGTTGAAGCGGGCGCGGCGGGCCTGCGGCGTCGACTCCGCCTCCAGCTCCGCGAGGTCGTCGATCTTGGACTCGGTGCTGGCGGCGTGGTCGATGGCCATCTTGGTGGCCAGTACCGCCAGCCCGTGCATGTTCTTGTTGCCGGCCTCCTTGCTGCGCGGGTCGGCGCCCAGCGACGCCATGCAGTGGTCGTAGTCCACGCCGGCGTGCGTCTCCGACGCGCCGCGGCACGCCTCCTCCACGCTCACCGGGGTCGCGCACTCCCGCGGCGGCTCACCATCCATTGTAGGCAGCATCATTGGATCAATGCTACCAGCATCAGGCACCAACTCAAACTCCACCGCCTGCGCAACACCAACCAGCAGCAGGCAGAGGCCGAGGCCGAGGACCAGCACACGCCGGCCGCTGCTGCTATCACCACCACCACGAGTAGTACCCATGAACGCCATTTTCGACCTGCTTACTTAGCTAGCTTGGATGGACGATCGATCTACTATCTGCAGTGCACTGCACTGCACCTGCCTGCCTGCGGCTAGAAAGAGAGAGACAGATCGAGAGAGAGGCACTACTGCACGGGATGTTATCGACGAACGAACCAATAACTACTATCGGAAGGCTTGACGATGGAGGGAGCTGCGGGCAGATATGGAGGATGGTTGGAGCCAAGTGGGAGGCAGGGAGGAAGCCTCGCTAACTATGCTTCCATTTCCATGGATGCATGGGATGGGATGCATCCATCGGCGTCGGCGGTGCATGCATGCCATTGTCCATTTGCCATTGCCATGCATGCATGCAGATGAGAGATCTCGATAGATCAAGCTCCTCATGGACAGACGACGACCTCTTCTTCCTCTTCCTCCTCGCTAGCTTCGATCCCCCGGCCCCTCCGCCGCACCTGCGTGCGCGCCTCAGCTCCATCCATCCATCGTTGAATGCTTCAACCGCTGCTATTTTAAGCTAAGCTAGGTCTTCTTCGATAGGCTCCGTTTGGCACGTACAGCAATAACTTCAGAAGCTTTTTTTTTTACCAAATGGGATAAAATAAAATAAGTGAAGTTCCCGAAAACCAGTTCTCACAGGGGTGGCAACTAAATGGAGCTGAAAATATTAGCTTCTACTAGCTTCCTCTTCCAGTGTACTACGAGGAGTTGTTTTACCAAATTTAAGTAATGGTTAGCGATGCCATACTAGCTGTAGTGGCTAAATATAATTTATATGTTGTGGAGCATGGCACCTACGAGGTTGTTGTCATTTTCCAAATGCTGTAGAGCACTGGGTGTTAATTAGCAATTTAGCAGTAGCAGCCAAGCTAGTGCATGCTCAATTGGCTTTACTATACTATATATATTTATTTGGAAAAGAAAAGAAAGCCGTTCGCATATATATATATATATATATATATCACTACCGGACTCCCTGAGTTTGCCGAGTGCCCGAAACACTCGGCAAAAGACATAAAACACTCGGCAAATAGTTCGCTGAGTGTAACACTCGGCGAACAGCACTCGCCAAAAAAAGTGACGGCAAAGCCTTTGCCGAGTGCCCGACACTCGGCAAAGTTGGAACCGATAAAAACCCGAAAAAATAGGAATTTTTACAAAAAAAATAGATTTTTTTTATTGGAGGAAGCCCCCACTGGCCAGCGCCCGCACCCATCTCCACAAAAGACATAAAACACTCGGCAAATGGTTCGCCGAGTGTAACACTCGGCGAACAACACTCGTCAAAAAAAGTGACGGCAAAACCAACTTTGCCGAGTGTTTTTTATCGGGCACTCGGCACACTCGGCAAAGCCTTCCGCACTCGGCAAAGTTGGAACCGATAAAAACCCGAAAAAATAGGAATTTTTACCAAAAAAATAGAATTTTTTTATTGGAGGAGGCCCCCACTGGCAGCGCCCGCGCCCATCTCCACAATTTTTTGCATCAAATCACGGCAACACGGCCGACGGGAATCGAACCCGCGACCTCCCCTGCTAGCAAACCTCCTCTATCACTACACCACGCTTTCATTTGTGTTTGGATTTCGTTTTAGTTCCTAATATATTATACTAAACCGAATATAAATTGCTTGTTTGAGGCCCTAAACAAATTCAAATAAAAAAGTTGTAAACTATAAAGTTTCATAACTTTTTGAGATATACACTTTTAGTTTATGAAGTTTTTCCATCCGAGGTCGTTTACAAAATTTGAATTTTAAAATTTTGAAATTCAAATGCAGTTTTGCATGACAAGATGATTTCAAATCAAAAAGTTACCAACTACAATGTTTCATAACTTTTCGAGATCTACAAAGTTTATTTTGGTTGTTTTTCCATCCGAGGTCGTTTGAAAAGTTTGAATTTTAAAATTTTGAAATTCAAACACAGTTTTGCATGACAAGATGATTTCAAATCAAAAAGTTGCCAACTACAATGTTTCATAACTTTTCGAGATCTACAAAGTTTATTTTGGTTGTTTTTCCATCCGAGGTCGTTTGAAAAGTTCGAATTTTAAAATTTTGAAATTTAAACACAGTTTTGCATGACAAGATGATTTCAAATAAAAAAGTTGACAATTACAAAGTTTCATAACTTTTCGAGATCTACAAAGTTTATTTTGGTTGTTTGATCATCTGTTCATCCGACATGGTCGTTCTAACATTGTTCATAAATCTTATATCTCTCTCATGTAGTTTCATAAACTAACAGAGAGATATGTTAGATTTGTGAACAAATTTACTTTCACTTTTTCATATGAAGAAAAGACTAAAACAAACATTGTACATCTTGATGAGTTATACAACTTTGTAGTTGAAAACTTTTTCATTTGAATTAATTTACTGCTTCAAAATGTGCTTTGAAATTTTCTTTGCCGAGTGTAAAGAAAAAACACTCGGCAAACAAGCTTGTTTGCCGAGTGTAAAAAAACACTCGGCAAATAGCTTTTTTGCCGAGTGTCAAAAAAAAAAACTCGGCAAAGACGTCTTTGCCGAGTGCCCGAAAAACAACACTCGGCAAACCACTTGACACTCGGCAAAGAGCCGGTCTCCGGTATATGCTGGTCAATACTTTTTCTTTTTTTTGGTACATCGGCCATATCTATCTATCTAAGAGTATGCAAGCATGCATAATGGGAACAAACACTGCTGATTGCTGACTGAACTAAAGCATTTTATATATTCCCTGCAAGCAATAAATAAAAAGGTGATATTTGGACGCGGTGGACATGGTCCACCAGCCACAAAATACGGTTTTACCATTTGACCATTAATTCCTACTGCATGATACTATATAGCATATATAATATATAAACTTAATGCCATTTGGTAAATCCCCAAACACCAAGAAATATGTTGTATGCTAACTAGAATTGAAGTATTTCTAGTCTCCAGAATAATATATAGTATGACAGAGTCTCCAGAATGCACACTTGCACGGTACGGTGTTCCATATTCATCATTACAGTAACTATTAAGTAGTCACTAACTGGGAAAGGGGAGGAAAATGAAGAAAAAAAAATTAAGCTACATACATATTCTGAGACACAGTCACACAGACAGTAGTGATCCTTATGATTTCACACTACTAGTTGCTCCTTATTATTGTTGATGTCGGCCTCTTCATCATCTGCTTGATGTTTGCTATCTGTACTACAGCATGCCGCCGCGGCATCCACCTTCTTTCCCCACAGCAGAAGGTAGAGCCCAAATATCATCAGCACGGATCCTAGAACGCTGTTTTTTGAATTTTTCGAAAGGGATAAGTTCAAACTTCGTCATGCTCGGACATATATAGCAGATGCATGAATGCTCAGTACATACAACTGAACTCATACGTATATGCATGCACAGTACCTGCCAAGATATAGTTGCTCATGGAGGAAGAAGAAATCGATAACGGCCACCATGATCTGGACGATGGGGATGAAGGCTGCAGTGAAAACTGGACCCCTCTTATGGACGCACCAGGTCATTAGCAGGAAGCCTGCTGCAGACGCTATGATTCCCTAATTTAAAAAATATTTCCCTTTCTCTGAGTTTGATTATTTCATACTCATATATATCAATGCAACTAGCTTACATAATCGTTAATTACTAGTTACACTTCCCTACATAGATCCTGATAGTCTAGTCATGCATCAAGAAAATAATTAAAGACGATGAACCAAGAGAAAAATCATGATACATAACATGAAAGGTTATGTGGACGAACATCTTTGAGCTTATCCGGTTTCAGTACTGAAGTTCTCTGTGAAAAATAAGGTTAGTGGAAGAGATGCTAATTAAGGACATAATTTCTCCACTCGGACAAACTGTGGTCGCGCGGTGCTATAAATGCTACCGTTTGTGTGGCACTCAGATTTCTTGCGATTATATATTACCGCGCGCTCTCTCCGAAAGCAACTTTGACCTAATAAATTTGTTAAATAATAACCATCAATCATGGTGGATCCTGTCATCCATGACTATCTAGGGATAACTGCTGGGGCTTAATTTATTTATTATGCATGCCTAATAACCAAGAATTTTTTAAGCTGTGTGTGTAATCAGATGATATATCTTACCGAATACAATATTGTGACGATCTCCAGCTTCTTTGTGATGATCCAAACCGATGCGTGCCTCTCTATCGTCACCGTCAGCGCTCCTGCCTGCAGCGTGCTGATGAAGAACATGAAGGCGGTGCTGGAGTAGAGGGCTGGGTACTTCTTCGTCAGCCTGCTTTGCAGCAGCAGCCACAGGGAGAAGAAGAGGCAGTTTGCCAGTAACGCTACAGTTCCCAGCATCCAAATCTTCTTGTCGTCGTTGCCTGCTTCTACTTGTACTTGCTGAGAGGAAGCAGCAGCAGGAGGAGTGCCGCTGCTCTGGTGTGTCACGGCCACACCCTTGTAGAGGCTCAGCAGCAGCATTCCACCGAGCGACATGAGCGTCCCAAGGATCTTTGCACACCCTGCTTTGCTCTTCATGTTGAGCGACTCCACCCTGTATATGGGTATATGCATCCATTTTAGTTCACTGCTGGGGTTTCAAAGTCCAAGGCCACTGACAATTGAGCATATACATACCGTAGAGCTATGGCAATGAGGAAGGTGAGGACAGGAGCCATGTTGGCAAATGTTATGGCAAACGTCGCAGTTGTGAACTTGAGCCCGTAGAAGAAGCTGTACTGCGAGAGGGAAGCACTGCATGTACATGGACGACACATTAAGAAGAAGAATCATCTAATGATATACTAATATAATCCTATATCTATATATTAGTATATAATACTAGCTATGTGTGTTAGTTGTACCCAAGCGCTGCACTGAAGAAGTGGTACACAAAGATCTCTAGCGTGAACTTAGGCCTTGTGTTCCTGCAGGAAATTAAAGAAAAAGGAAAACACAGCTAAGAAGAGAACATTATTAGCATACATATGTGTAGCTGCATCAGTTAGGGAATACCAAACCATATACGTACCGTTCTTTGAAGTAGGCTATTGGCGCTAGGAAGAGAGTAGCGACCAACTGGCGAAGAGTGATGAGGACGAGGGCGTTGAGCCCTTGCTCCAGCGCCTTCTTCACCAGCGCTGTCAGCACAGCAGAGATGAGGTTGAAGACCAGCATTGCCATCACCGGCTTCCACTCATCCATGTGTGAGTGTGGCATCCCCGGCCCCCAACAATATGAGTATATGACTGTATGTGTCAATGTATTGTAAGATGCTGCTATATATATATTGCGAAGGTCTGGTCATGGACGGGACTACATATATATAGTATACAAGGGCTGGGCTGGCGCCCTTTGTCCCACTTACCAATGTCCCTGGATGAAAACTAAAGCGACGGCTCTCGTTCACTCTGAGGGAAAAAGGTAAATGCTATGAGGAGCATCCCTAGTTGCTCGATCTCAAAGGAAATTATAAATATCGTAATTCAGCCAAGCACTGATATTTTCATGCTTTATGCATCGTGACTGTCTGCATAAATTTCCAAGGAAGTAAAGAAAAGCTGGATGTGTACTCAGCTTACAAAATTCCAGGGAATTGGAAAGCTCTTCACAATCAGCTGGTGTGTATGTGGATTGTCATCCTCACCTTCTATAAAAGGGGTAGTGGATGGTGCTCACCTTGTGTGTGATAAGCTCTTGCATCACCCATATTTCCTCTCTATATCATTCTTCACCTATATATTATACAAGTTGTCTGCACTACTACAACTGTACTATTGATACCATATTGTGTATGCACTGCTTTGGTTTTTGTAAAGAATTAATGCCGAAGTCTGTAAACATGAGTTTCAGGAAGGAGAAAGGGCCTAAAGAATTACCGTCAAAAGCATTGTCCTTGAGGCAGTTGAGGTGGATCAGCATCTGCACCTGATGAACTGTACCGCCAGTGCTCGACAGGGAAAAAAGAGCATAGCAAATCTGATGCAGTGGTACAGTGATACCATTTTAAGCTTGAGCAGTCACAGATTGTGCATTTGTTAGTGTGCACGTGGTCCTGATTGCTCAGTCAGTGGTTTGGTGCTTTGGTGGTGGGCGGTAAAAACTAGTAAGCCATTCATTCATACCTTTTGTTATAACATCATTGTGTGCTTACACTGTTAAAAAGTTTGAAGCCTAAATTAGTAGGAAGGGGGATAGATTAGAATGGCAGTTTAATGAAACCAGTACATAACAGCTTGGCACTGAATTATTTAAACAAACTTGTCGTAACATGGGCATGGCACATACAACGTGAGGGCAGATAGCTGCACAGCAATATATACTATAATCCACTTGATATTTCCATTTCAAGGACGAACGAGGAAAGAATTGACTTGCTTCTCCTCATATTTTTGTCAAGAAAAACTGACAGTAGTAGGTGGCTCAAACAGCTAGATCTTCCCCAAGAGAAGGAACGACCGAACGAGACAGAGGCCCCCCCAGTGGCAGTCAATCGCACTGCAGGTTAGCACCACGCAAGTGACCTTTGATGTGTCCCCATATTTTGCCGTTCAAGTGCTATATGCTGACATAAAACTTGTCTTTTGGTTGATAGTTGTATACACTTTCCACCTTTCAGTTAACTAAATAATATGCCGATTCTTAGTCTAGTGCTGATGACATTGCATTCATTCATATTAAAGGGCAGACCGCAGACCCAGTGCCAGAGGCTCCCACATGAGTGGGGTCTGGGGAAGGGAAAAACTTAGGCAAGCCTTTCCCCCGTAAAATCTGTGGAAAGGCTGCTTCGAACCCACGACCTGGTGACTCAGTGAGACAGCTCTCACCACTGCACCAGGCCTGCCCTTCGCATTCATTCATATTCTACTACTTAATTTGTGCTGCTTCTTTCCTCATTAGATGGATGGCATCTTTTATCCCTGACTAAATCATGATGTCTTAAGGATCAAATATATTAAAGTTGATTTGGCTAATCAAGTAATCAGGCATACTTAGTTATCTTTGCCATCTGAAGTAAGAAAAGTGACCTGCCAAGGTCGTAGAGAGTTGTTGGTGTTGAGGATGAATAGGTCGATGACGTACGGCAGCGATGATCTGAGTATGGCTCATGAGCGCGTAGCCTATCCCTGACACTCCCACTCCCTGGAAAAAAAGAAGAAGAGGCGGATGGGAGCAAGAGCAAAAATGTAAATAAGTCATCTTAATTCATCATTCACGCGTTATGCTCTTGGATTGGATGTTAGATCAAAAGCTATCCCTGCATAACAAGTCCTGTAGCACTGGCCGGATTCGGTCTTTATCGCCTATGATATGATATCATTTGTAGGTGAGGTGAATATATATGTGTGCACCAGTACCATTGTCAGCCAGCCTGCCACTACATCTATATGCATCAGAGCACGAGCAAGCGCTCTAATGCTCCACTACCAAGATTCCAGAGTTGGACACCATGGTACAGTGCCAGAAAGAGAATGTGTTTCTTTTCTGCCATTTCTCTCTCTCTCGTTGATTGGTGTAATAGGATCAACGATTGTATTGAGGCCTAGAGAGATTGCTCACTGCTCATAACGGAGTATATTCAAGGAATAAGAAAACAGTGTCAAGATGAATCCGCCCAATACATGTTAATTAAGCACTGCCTTTCCAACTCGATCAAGATCAAAACCAAAGACACTTTCTCCCTGCCTAAATGCATCATGCACCTTGACGCTAGTCAAATAAAAATAACCCCAGCAAGAACAAGTACTGCTGAGCAAACAGTGCCCAGTATATTCAGCGAAAAAGAAAACTACCATAGTCAGAGAATCAGAAAGCATTCATGTAATGGTATCAAGAAAGTTTACCTAAGTAACACGCCCGTGAATAGGTAGGCTAAGATCTCCACTGTCAGCTTTGGTTTTGCGATCCTGAAATCAAATTCCAGATCCTGATCCTGAAAGAGTACTTTTCATGCATTTCAATGTTGATGAAAGATCAAGGAAGACAAGCACACATTCCAAGTTGGTACAAAGACAATAGATATCATTAGTAGGTTTTTAGTTGAATTCAGGAGATACTGAAAATATCACAAAACAGCTCACAATTGTCTTTTCCTATATATAAAAATATGGCATGCCGTTTGAAACACTAACAATGTATAACCACAGATATCCATCGACCTTTCAGACATGTAGACTTTTATTAGTTCTAAAGCGACGAGACTTCAAAGCTGAACACTTAAGAAAGTGTACCGTGGCATAAGATGCATGCACCATATGAGTGCCATGTGCTCTTTTTTGCATAGTGGAACAATCTGGTTCCAGTCATCAGAGCAAGCAATTGGAGGTGGAGCAGAGGATAGACAGACAGCATAGTAGCCTCACCACCTGCTACCAGTTGACGAGGAATGGTACAAAGTGCATCCATGTTGCTTGCATTCAGAATTTCAGATAACTGTGGACATCAGATGCTGTGACTGCTGAGGCTGCTGTAAGCATGCTACCGTCGTCAGGTTAAGAATCTTGTGGTCCCTGCAGCCGTGGGAGCATTCCATCAGGGCAAATAATTCAGAGGTTAGCCCCTCTTCGTTTCTTGACCATTCCATTCCATCAAAGAATCAGGATCCCCGTTATCTCTGTCTCAGCGTGTTCCTGCTGTCCATCATCACAATTCAGAAATATCTACATCGTCTCAGCGTGTTCCTGCTGTCCACATAATTCAGAAATATCTACATCATCACTTCTATAGAATCAGATTTCTGTAGTTTGAGAAATCTTATTCGTGGTGTAGTCTTTTGATCTACACCACTGCTTCACGCCCATCCATTTACTAGACACATTCTCTGTGACAAGGCATAAGGTACAAATCGTGTTCAAGAATCTCTCAAACATATTTTCGTTTCAAAAATACTATACAACACACGTGTGTTTTAACAAAAAAAAAAACACAAGGATTTTTTTCCCTCTCTCCCCTCTCTTTTCAACTGTAGTCGACGTGACGGAGCGCGTCGTGCGTGCTGCGGTGCGCAGCAGCGACGCCTTTGTTGCCTTGCGCGACGCTACACGCCTGCGCAACAGCTTCTGCTAGCCTGCGATAGCAACTGCCAGACCGCAGAGTTCTTGTCAAGCTACACCGGCCTGCAGAGGTAATTGCCGTCTGGGAACTTTTTTTTTTTGTCCTTGCATAGAAAAAAATTGTTTCTTGTGATATGTGGATCTATGATCTTGTGATTTGCGATTGTCTAGAGGTAGAAGACTGGAGGTAGAAGGAGAATAGAGGCTGTTGGATCTTAATTCTATGATGTAAAAAAATTCATGTGTTGAAACTGTATAAAACACATGATTGTTGGGATAGACGTTCTTTCGTTTTGCACACAATGAACACCCATATGTCAACTGCCAATACAATGTTTGCACTGCTGTGCTCTACTATGGTCTTCTACATTGCAAAAAAATGATAACTTGCAACCACACCCGCATCTATTTGAACAAGAATGGAACTGGAGTGGAGGTACTAAGATGAACACAAGAATATGCTCACAAACAATGTTGATTCCATTGGAATGCCACCTCCAATTACATAAAAACATCCTAAGACAGTACAAAACTTCAGTGTCCAATCAACTTGCGAAGTTGTAATTAACTAACTCAAAAACACAGCACAAAAAAGGTCCACCTCAAACTCTCGCTAACAGAGCTTTTGCTAGCGCTAGGAACAAAGGGCACCTCACTGCTCCTCAGAGATGGGGCCCTTGTCACTCACATAGATACCGTCCAAGAACTTCCGAATATCCTTCTTCTTGACATGGCATTTCTGTTTTAAGACAAAAAAAAAACCTTATTAAGGATGCAGGATGGTAGTTCAGGACTTCTGATAAGATGGATGTTCACTAATAACACCATTCCAATGCAGTGACCATAATTGCAGAAAGAAAGATTGCTTGTCATGGAAGGCCAAACATCATTCATTAAAATATTGTGAGGTCAACTTATTCCATCGAATTATATGAATTCTTAGCTGACATACAAGACCGAAATAGTAATTAAAGAACACTTGTGGACACAAGGTCTAAAATTAAGGTTCAGTTAGCAATATGACACTAAACTGGTGGGCATGGAACACCGCAGCACATCGTTATACTATACTAAGTCTTGACAATATGGTAGAGAGGGAGTAGATGAAGGTTCGATGCAGTCAAGAAACAGAGATGCAAGGACTCTAACCTGATTTATAAGGGCAGCCGAGCGAGAGACAAGCTCAATGTCATTGCCATCAAGAATAAGCTCATCCTTGACCTTCTCTGAACGCAAGATGGTCACACCTTCAAGCATATCAACCTTCCTGACCTGGAGGGAAAGGAAATCAGAAATGTTTTACAGAACCCACGTCGATATCAAAGCGGTCAAACGCATAAAGGAGTGCCACTAGGTAAAACCACATTGAAATGTAGAACATTGCATAATCACGGGATGCCATAGTAGAACATAGATTTAACTTTAGAGTTGGTCCCATAGTATCTACAGAATGCAAACTAGGTCTGCCAATTCAAATACGCATGGATTGTGAGGGGGCTCTATCAATCATCATGTACAATAAGTACAATATACAGCTAGGTAGCACAGCAGCAGCAGTGGTTGTGATTTGTGACAGCACAGTCATCGCTAGTGAATAGTGTGATCCCCTAAAGACACTGAAAGCGTTTTTGGAGCGGTATATATAATTAGCATTCAAAACCTAAACCGTTCCCAATTCGGAGCTCTACATACATACGAAATGAAATGAAAGTAGGCACATTTCATGGCCTAATGGGTTCTAGGATTCAGCTAAGGAGAAAGGAAACATTTCATCGCACACGGCGCAGAAAAATACAGCCTGCCTTTAACAGAGGAAGTAAGTAATCCCTGTACCTTCTTCTCCCCGAGGAAGTTCCTGATCTCAATGGCAGAGTTGGCGTTGGTGATGGATGCGTTGATGGGGAAGTGAGCGTAGACGAATCGCATCTTGTAGCGGAAGCCCTTGGTGACGCCGGTGATGAGGTTCTGGACGTGGGAGATGGCGGTGCGGATGGCGGCCATGGTGCGGCGGGTGCCGAACCATGCGTCGACCTTGAGCTTGCGTCCGCCCTCCTGCAGCTGGAAGTCGAGGTTGAGATGCTTGAAGTTGCGGGTGAGCTTGCCGCGCGGGCCCTCCACCGTCACCAGCTTGGCGTCCACCGTGACCGTGACCCCCTCGGGGATGTCCATCGTCTCCGTGGCCAGGATGGTCTTCATTTTCGCCGGCGGCGGTGGCTGCTGCCTGCTGCGCGGAAGGAGGTGCGGCGGCGGCGGCGGCGGCGGAGAGGAGGCGGCGAGAGAGACGATTTGGGCTTTTATACAGGAAGGAGGAAGGGCGGCGGCGGCGTTTAGGGTAGGAGAGAGGAGAGGGGAGGAGTGGATGGTCCTGGGCTGGGCTAGTCTTGCGTTAAGTGGGCCACTATTAGGCCCATTGTTACACTAGCGCCTTCCCACTTGCACAGCCCAAGGCAAAATCCCTCTCATCATTAAAAAAGAAGATGAAGAAAAATCAACTGCTTCTTGGTAGACTTGGACGTTCCATTGCTCACCGTCTTGGTCTTGGAGTCGCCGAAATCTATGAGGACGGACGGCGCTGCTCTGGCAATGGAGTAGAGCCTGAGCTTCTTCGACACCTCACCGCCTCCGCGCGCGGTCTCCGTAGCCGTAGTGACACCCGCACCGCCCGGGCGCCGCCGCAGCGGGTACGCCAGCAAGAACTGGTGGTGGCGACGACGGGGACACGGCCTTGGCCTTGGTAGCAGCCGCAGGTGGGGAGGAGGAGGACAGAGAGACGGCCAAGGCGGCCATGGCTGGCCGGCGCCCGGCCCGACGAGGTGGAAATTGGAATGGATCGAGGGGAAGACTTCGCTGCCTTGCAAAATCCATTCCGCCCGAAACCGTTGCCCATTCACGATTCATTCAACTGGCCTGGTTCAACCAACGGTTCTGTATTTATTATAACATATACTCACTCCATCTCAAAAAGAATACATTTCTCATGTATGTGCGATTCTCACATGCCCACAAGAAATTAGCACACAACAACAGAAAAAAAAAATAGCATGCTCTCTCCCTACTCTTTTTATTACTAGTTTGGTTTATTCATGGATGGTTCACATGGATTCTGTGAGTTTACCTAAGACAATTAGGGGTTGTTTGGTTACCCGGCTAACCTCTAGCCAGGTTCTAGTAGGCCAGCTACGAGATGTTTGGTTGTCTGGTTTGGACACATATCCAGGCTTAGCTAAGTAAGGAGGACCCCTTATCCAGGCTTTCTGGAAACAGATCACCAAATCGTTTCCCACTAGCCACTTTGGCTAGTGCATCCCGTCCTCCGCTCACCTCCCTCCTCGGTCTCGTGCTGCGCCGTCATCCCTGCCCCTACCCCTGCGACTCCCTTCCTCCGCTCTCCTCCTTCCTCGCTCTCGTGCTGCGCCGCTGTCCCTGCTCATGTCTCCCCACGCCTTCGTCAAATTCGGCAGGGCCCACGCCTTCGCCGCATCTCGCCAGCCCCACCTCCGCTGGATCCCGCCGGCCCCGCCTCCACCGGTTCCCACGAACCCGCGCCTCCGCCAGACTTGTAAAAAGAAGCCCAAGAGGGCCCTAGATTTGGTTGACGAGGGCGTGCACCGAGCCGGTCGATGTCGCCGCTTTGGTCGGCGAGACGACTCGCCTCGCTCTCTCGCGCAAGCACGCTACCGAGGTGACGACGGAAAACAGCCGGACCAACGATGAGGACGGCGGGCGGGTGCGCAATGTGAGGCGCCGAGGGGCGGCGCTGCTGGTGCCATGAAAGTAGGCCCTCGTCGCTGCGAGGCGCAGGACGGCATGCACGACGCAGCCCCAGTGCTGGCCGAGGAGGGGTGGGTTGGAATCGTGATGCTGTGAGGCCCGCGTCGGACGGCCATCGGGTGGCATGGCCGCGGTGGGGATTGTGTGGATTCGTTGCTCGCACATGGTGCTTTCTGCTGGTGGATGGTGGGAAGTCCACCTCCATTCTTATGCAAGGTGATTCTAGCATCATAGCCAAAACCAACCAAACAACCTAAGGTTACATTGCTGGAGCCTATCTTAGACTGCCTTGGCTTAAAATGTAAGCCAGGCTAGCTTTAGGAAGACAACTAAACATAACCTTAGACTACGTGAGGCAAACAGAGAGGCATCACACACTGATTTTAAGCGCACTAAAAATTGGAAACAATATAACTTCACAAAGTGTACCTTGATAATGACTCAACCAGCGCCAACGCAATCACTGCAAATCACATGAGCCTATAGCTAGGACTCTCACCATGGATCTATATTGAGTCAAGCATCTATTTTTGGTTGCATCTAATGCCTCCCAGCCAGATTATGCGTACACAAAGCATTGTTTCCCTGTAAAATACAGGCAGTAAAATGCAGGCCTAAATTGCGAAGTGATTGCTTTTTAAAAAGGCACCATAGGCAGTAAGGCAGAAGTCTATATGCTAAGATAACCGCTTTTTAGAAGTTATTATTAGAATAGGTGAAAGCAAAAGACACCATGATGCATTGCATTGCTGCTGCATTATACAGGCAAATGACATAGTAACTAATATTAGCTTAGTGGAACTCCAAAAATATAGAGATAATTTTTGCTGGTGCTGCAATGGAATCCGGTGAGGTGATCTAGCATCTACGTTTTCATAAATCACAATGAAAGCTACCAGTTGTTAAAACAAATTATAAAAGAGGTAAGGGTGAAAGGACCTAGGATGCCGCCTAGAGGGGGGGTGAATAGGCATTTCTGAAAAATAACACCTTTAAATGCGGAAACAATTAGAAAGGGGAGTTTCCAAAATGGAAACTCCAAATTAAGAGTACTACCACCCCTCACAAGTTAGCCACAAAGTAAACAAGGTATAAAGAATATATCTACAAGCTACAACCCTGCAACACCAAGTTAGAACAGAGAATAAATATTTTCAGTGCAGGCATGAAATACCGGACGTATCGGTATGAATACCGGACGTGTCCCAGATACACGATTCTCGCAAATCGCCCCGAACTTGCTCCTTTCGATTTCTATCTTCGCACCAAACTGCAGACACCTAATGGAGATGACAATATACACAGAGAACTGCAGAAGAGCAGCTAGAGCAACACAAATATCAAATGAAATGCGAATTTAGACACGATATTTGTTTTATCGAAGTTCGGACTCGTTCGAGTCCTACTCTCCGTTGAGGGGGCTGCAGGCGACCAATGAAGGTCGACCCTAGAGGGTACCACGAAGGTCACTCTAGTGGAGTCTTTTCCAACTCCTTTTCCTCCTTCCACTAATTTGATTCGATCGCGGCGGAATCGACCATTACTAAACTTTCGAAGCAACCACAATCTCTCGGTTGCTCTCCCATGACGCTAACCGTCTAGGACCAAGAGTCCAAGAGTAACAAATGCGAATCACGAGATTGACAATATGCACAAGTGCTCAAGTGGTGGCTTGCTCTCTTTTCAAATTCTCTCTCAACCCACAAATTGATTTTGCAATTTGGATCACACACTCACTAAGAGAGGGTTTAGGAGAGTTGGCAAGGCTCAAAAACGTGTGTCTATCTCAAGAGATCAGCTGACCTCCAAAGGTGGAGGCTTGGGGGTATTATAGCCCCCTTGAAAAACTAGCCGTTTATAGCCGTTGTAATATCCGGACACGTCCGGTATGCATACGGACACGTCCGGTATGACTTAGATCGCGCCAACGGTAACTAAATTCTGATGATGTTGTGAGGAGGTCGGAACTCCCGAAGTATGCCGGGACTTCGACCGTCGGAACTCTCGACTCAAGTCGGAACCCCGACCCTCAAAGCAATTTTGAAAAACATGTAATCGAAGTTAAAGTTAGTGAGGTGTCGGAACTCCCGACGCATGTCGGAACTCCCGACCCTCACGGCTTTTGAAAACTAGCCGTTGGCTTCGGTCATCCATACCGGACACGTCCGGTGTGAATACTGGGACACGTCCAGTATGACCAGACGATGAAACCTCTAAGTCTGTTGAAGTGCGAGACGTCGGAACTCCCGACCCATGCGGGACTCCCGACCGTCGGAACTCCGACCCACGTCGGAACTCCCGACAAGCAACCCGAGAACAACATTTTTTACACAATTTCTTTGGACAAATCTGGGACACGTCCGGTATGAATACCGGACACGTCCGGTATTGCTGCATCAAGAAGAAATCATCAACACATTTGTCGCTCAAATAATCAAACCTCACATGGGTTGGGTTGAGCACTTATGAAACATTATCTATCAACATGATGCATCCCTCTTAATAGTACGGCATACCTATTAAACTCAAGATCAAAGGAAAAATGAATTTATACCACTTGAGTTGATTTCTTTTGAATTGATGTCGTCCTTCCAATCTTCATCAAGTAAGGGTGCTAACAAGTTGATGTTGATCTTTTCATTTGAGCATAGCCATCTTGAGCATGTGACTTGATTCCATTCATCAAATTTGAATAACCCCAAACGTATCAAGTCACTTCCATCAAATACTTCATTATAGATTTGATTCTTCACATCAATATGACCATCTTAGCTTGATTAGTACCTCAACTAAATGCAAGTACTTTCTTCTTCACCCTAGCTAGGTTCTTCTACCGCCAAGCCCGCCGCTTGTCTTCTTCACCCTTGCTTAGTACCTCGAAGCCTTTCCTTGCTATCTTCACCATCTCAAGCCATCAAGTCACATCTTGTGTTGAATCATCCATTCATATGTATTGTTATCTTTTTCATTTTAATTTAGCAAGCTTCAAATATGAGACCATTCCATATGCAATCCCTCATGTCTCATTAACTAATAATCATGAGCTTGCTTTCACATAGTATATGGAAATCCCAAAAAAAATAAGCCTTCACATGAATTCCATTTGCATTGTTGTCTTGTGCTTGAACTAGATTGTTTATACAACAACACATCATTTTGGCTTTCATTAAGTACCTGTGAGATAACCTATTACCTGTTCACACTTAGCAAACGGGTTAGTCCTTTAATCACGTTGTCATTCAATCAACCAAAACCCACTAAAGGGCTAGATGCACTTTCAATCTCCCCCTTTTTGGTGATTGATGACAACTTGATTAAAGCTTACAAAATGATATAAACATTTAAACTTTTGGGTTCAATGATTTATGAGAGGCTCCCCCTTAATATGTGCTTATGATTAGAATTCACAAAATGACCTCAAATGT